TGGCCTGCTGAGATGCTCAACAGTCAATTGAATAAAAACGCTGTCAGTCTGAACCAAGTTTTCCCCAAAATCACATTTTACTTAGAATAATGTAACTAAACAAGCGTACCTCCCCCCACACACAAGATCATGTTATTAGATATGATTTTGGGGTGGGGGGGGGTTGACTGAGTCATGCATCACTGCTGGCGGTGCAGCGATCGGAGCTGTTGTGTTGCAGAGAGAAGATGCAGGTTCGCTTCCTTGTCCTGTGTGGAGTTTGCATGTTCTCTCCATGCAGACAAGGGTTTTCTCTGAGTCCTCCCACTTTCCAAAAGCATGCATCTTAGGTTTTTTAGTAACTAATTTGTTCCTAGGCGTGAGTGAGAGCATGACTTCTTCTGATGAGTTTTTATTTCGTTAGATAGGTGTCTCAGAAGAATAATGTTCCTCTTTGTGATCCTTTGTAAAGACTTTTTTCTTTATTTTTGCATTTTGCAAGTGCACTGATGTATGATTTGACTGAGATCAGGATATTGTCTTGATCATTGCCAATTTTTTTTATATTCACAATCTGTTAGGCTGATTTAACTTTATTTTTTATTTTTTTATTTTTTGATTTTTGTCCCTATGTAATTTCAGTCAGTTCAAACTGCTTTGATACCACTGGCTGTCAGTGAGCAGATGGTATTATCTTTTTACATTTAATCCAACTTCCTTTGTTGTCTGGCATATCACAAGTTAAAAAAAGACTTTAAAAAGTGTGATTTGGATGTGTTTATGTGATCACGTGTTTAATGTTGACTGCTTCAGATCATGAATCATTCTCAGTAAGTTGTAGATTCTCATTTAAGGAACATGTGTGTTTGTTGGGATGTAGCAGTGCCTGTTTGTATAAAGTTGTTTTATGTACTTATTACCATTGGCCACATTTAGTATTTTAGTTAGCTTTTCATAAGCATGAAACTTCACCAAGACATATTTTTATTTAAGGCTTTTTTGACCTTTGAATTGTGTGTTTGTCGATTTGGATGGAATATATCAGACATCAGTATGATTATTCATCTGCTAAAATCACATGAACTGCCCAAATCCTGTTTGATATTTACAGTCTTTTCCAGATTTACATTTACATCACATGCATCTGCCTCCTCAAATCTCCTCACATAATCACGTCTGTAATGTTGTGCTTGTGTATGAAACCGTGACAGTTTGTACTCACTTTCTTCACTCTAGTTCAGCTGTGGAGTTGATTATAGCTCAGTGAGGCTGATTGTTCTGTAAAAGCTTTTGTCCAGCTGAGGTGTTAATTGCCATAACGAATAAACTGTAATTTAACTCAAATTGATTGAAAGCTATTGATAAATGTGGAACACTTTTATGACATAATCAATATATCTGAAGAATGGTATGCAAAAAAAAAACGTAAATTGAACTTATTACGCCATTCAGACTTTGACATTGTACAGAATTAAAGTGTGATGTCATGTTGATTACAGATGTAGCTTGCCACATGGCAGGTTTACCACAGCAGTCACTTGAACTCAGCACAAATATTTTACATGATCCTACTCAGATCTGCTCAGTTAGAATCATGTTGGTTGTGTCCTCTGATCTCACATCTGATCTACAAGGACAAATGTCACACCCGTGCTGGCAAGCAACAAAACAGACTGGCCGGAATTACTGACCCCTGCGTGCTTTTCTTTTTTGCTGAGCGGACACATATGGCCCTATGTTAAAGTCAACATACATGTTTTTGTCGTCTGTGTGTCATTTGAAGAAACATGTTACAGTAGAAACTGCTGTGTTTGTTTTCAAAAATGGATATAGTGTATTTAGCCCAGCTAAACACTTTTATATTCTGTTTGTTAAAAAGATGCTTTAAATTTGCTTACAACCTTTTTACTTTTGTAGATTTTATGTCTATCAGGTGATAGAAAATGAATGTTCAGGTAGACTTCAGAATATCAACCCCCTATTAGGGATTATTTTCTTGCGTTTTGAAGTACTCAGTGGGTAGTGACATCTGTGCTGTCAGGTGTTTGTGTCGGGGAGCAGGAATAAATTAGAACTGGGGGGAGAATTTAGAAGTGATTGACCTAAACAAGGGCAGCCGTTAATGATCAATCAGGGCTCTATTTTTCTTTCTTTTCTGCCACTGTGAAACAGGAAACACTGGGCTCCTTCCTGTCTACTGCAGGAACCCCACCATAGACAGTCACTCTGACAAAGACGGGGGCTCAGGGAGCAAATGAAAAATCTTTTAAAAACACAGAATAGGAGGCTGGGGAACAAGGGCTTGTGTAACAAACAGACAAATGATAAATAGTTTAGCTAAGCTGAGATCAGGAATCAGAAGGATCAGTTCATGTATCGTTTTCACCTTTGTATCATAGGAAGTCAATAACAGTTCCTAGATTTTTTTTTTTTTTTTTGCAAGGAGTTATGCACAGCCAAGTTAGATACAGGTTACCGTTTGCTTTAGCTGAGTATGCAAATGAATATGAACAATTAACAAAATAATAAACACTTACACAGAAATGCATATATTTTGCTGCTGCAGCATAGTAAACTGGTGTCATATTTAAAATAGCAAAAACTTTAGCGTCTTTTGTCCTTCGCATGAGTAACCCATTCTCACTCTCAACTCGTCACAATATTGACGCTTTTCCAAGGTTCCCTCTGCGGCTTATTTTGACACGTCGGGTAACCCCTTCACATCAGTTATTGATGCACCAGGCATTTTTGGGTTCCCTCGGCGTCCGGTTTTGACGCGTTGGGACGCAAAATATAGGGGTCTTTGAGTTGGGGTCTGTGGTTAATGTTAGGGATCAGGGTTCATGGATAATTTTAGGTCGTGGGGTCAGGGATAGGATGTCTAGGGCGAATATTAGGTAATTTTAGGGTTTGGGACATGTAGTTGACGTGAATTTCCTACACTTTCTAAAAGTGGTTAATTTTAGGGATCAGGGTTTGTGGTGGAAATAACTTAAATAACTCTACCTGACTGCTAAGTTCACACTGCCTTGACCTATTCCTAGTCTGTATCTCTCTTAAATACTACATTTGTATAGTCTGTTCTCATGATTCTTAAGACGCTATTTGATATCTGGGGACCTCGCACTCATTTCGATATTGCATTGTATAACTTGTAATTCTATTATTGGTCATTTGATACCATTGTACTATTTGTCGTCCTGTTATTAGCTGTTCATGCGCTCCGCCCAGAAGTATATTAATGCATTTCCTGTCTGTTGCTAGTTCAGTGGTAGCTTGACAGACTCATTGATCGGGTCTGCTTGAGTTGCTGCTCACTTTTTGCATAAGCAAACCTTATTAAATCATCTGACGACCAAATCGCGCAGTACACCTTCTTTTTATTCAGGTTGTTTCTGCCTTAGTGGATATTTCCACGATAGGGTTGATGGTTAATTTTAGGTACTAGKGTCAGGGATAGGATGTCTAGAGCAAATAAAGAAGAATCTTGTCTGCCATCTGCTGGACACTTTTTGTAGTACTCATATTTAGACGTCCTATTTTACAAATGCTGCCTTTCTGAAATTTGGTATGCTTGTTTGTCTGTGTGTCTATGGTGTATAATGATGTGATTGTGATGCTGTAATTCTGAGTGTTTTATGTGCTGCAGAACAGGAACCTGCTGTAAAACAGCAATTATGCTGAGTCAGGCTTGATTTTTAATAATCTTTTCCTGTTAGATAAATAAATCAAATCAAATCAAATCAAATCAAAGGTAATTTTAGGCTTTGGGATGGTTGTTTTTTGTACATTTTCTGCACTTTCTGAAATTATGACAATGGATTCTGCCCCATCTCATCAATAATGGACGCTGTTTTGACCCGATGCGTCAAAACTGGACACAGAGGGAACCTTGGAAAAGCATCAATATGTGACGAGTTGGGATTGAGAATGGGCTGGCATGTCAGCCGTCAGTTAGTTAATGAGTTTAGAAGAGACAAAACAATGGTGCTGTATAACTATAGCAACCCTTTGTGATCAATTGTAAACCTGATTTTCCTAGTGGTTGGAGCTTGACTCATCACATGGTCCTCTGAAACACATTCTGCCAAATGGCTCGTAAACAGGATATAAATGATTCTAAATTTTAGAGGGGAGTCAGATGTCAGCCCACATGGCTTAAAAACGATGTATCTGTTAGAAAATATGCCAAGGAATCCTGTGAATGACTGGACTTTGAACATTTCCTGCCGTGCCTTCTAAGATGAAGTCCTGCTGGCTGTCTCTCGTTGAGCCTCAGGTTACATCACCGTGACATGTCCCCGTGCCAGAGTGGAATATAGTCGCAGGAAGTAGAGTACATCATTTAGCTGGGTGTCTGGCGGCTGCGACATCATACTGGCGTATCCTAGCAACCGGTGTGGAAAGAAGGGCTCGCTCAGGCACAGCCTCAGCTCAAGCTGGTGATCTCTGAGGAGGCTGCATATGTGTGTACGGGTGTGTCTGTTAGCTTGCTGGGATAATAGATGAGTGCTGTAGAAATTAGCGTGCTGGCTCAGCCCTGCAGGGAAGATCAATATCAACTATACATTCATCTCTAATTATCACGGCGGAAGTTAGAAGGAGTCTTTCTTTCTGCTCCCCACCCTCTTGCCCTGTTTCGCCATGTTTCTTTCATAAATCCCCACACTTTTATACTCTCGATTCTGATGGTCTTTCTATGAATTTTTAACATTATAAAAGAACAAACTTGTTTATATGGCTCATTACTTGGCAAACATTGTTTTTCCTTTTGAGTTTTTTTTCTCCTGTTATTAAATTTGCATAGTTGTAAATGAAAATAAATGTTTAGTCTTTTTTTCCCTTTCCCATTTTACATGGTCAAGATTTTTGGACACAAACTTATAAAACAAACTTTTCCTCTCTGCTTTTTGGTCCTTTGTCCTTGCGGTTCAGCCACCATCTCTCCGCAGACTATACATCATCACGCTGAAGACAGGAGTTTGTTACACTAATTTGACTCGTCTTTCTTTCATTGACAGTGCTAAGTATAGGTGAAGGAGGTTTCTGGGAAGGCACGGTCAAAGGGAGGACAGGCTGGTTCCCTGCAGACTGCGTGGAAGAAGTTCAGATGAGACAGTACGACCCAAGGCTTGGTAAGAAGTCATGTTTACAAACACCTACACATACAGATTCCGTGTGCACCAAAAGAAGACAGTTTGACAAATTTGGATCTTATGAAACTTTGCGCCAGTTCTTGTTAAGATTTTACATCTTGTTGTAAATTCAGCTTATTGTGAAGTCATAACTTTTCATGCAGCTTTACCCTTTTTCTTCAGTTTATTAGTAATTCAGTTTTTAAAGTGCCTGTGACATGCATACTCTTAAAATACAAAAAAATCAAAGAAAACATCTTTATATTTAAGTAAGTTGGAATAACACACACGATTTAACCCATTTTGTCCCATAACTGGCATATTTTCTTTTGAACTTGGCTCAGCCAAAGTGAAACAGGAAGTGACATCAAAGGGGAACTCTTTAACAAAGAAAACTCTCTGGTCTTTGTTTATTGAAACGATTTGAACTCGGACTCTTCTTCTTCTCGCTTAAAGTGACTCAAAATAATAAGAAACGTCAGATTCATCTCTACAGGCTGGGTTGTTAGCCATTTTACCAATGCTCTGTTCACATGCAGACATTCCCCTTTGACATCACTTCCTGTTACTTCACAGGCAAATATCTCAACAACTGTTCATCTCAGTAACATCAAATTTATTTTGCAATATTTTATCAATGTCCTCTTTCTAAAAATATGTTCATGTATATTACAAACATTTGACGTCACAGACACTTCAACCATTTTAAAAAAGAGCTATTAATTTGACTTCAAGATGTTTTTGCTGTTATTACTGTCTCAAATTTATTATTTTATTTCAGTTTTCTGTCATTTCAGTTACCCACATGTTGCAGCACAATCACTGCAAAAACCTTTACCAGCTGTTTAAAATAAATGTTGATACAAACAATACGTATAGGAAATTAATATTGATAAAAACTTAAAGACAACCTCAGAAATATTGAAGAAGTCAAGTTCAGTTTATGTGCATTTGATAATTAAACTAAAATATTAAATTGTAGCTTTTTTCTCATTTGTTTACCAACTCATATGTCAGTTTCCTTTTTGAAAGAGTTTTTTGGGGGAATTTATTTTTCATAAATGTTTTGTCTTGTTATAAAAATGTTGCAGAAACCAGAGAAACTCAGTAAACGTCACCCCTCTTCAAACTGATTTAGTGGATGAAGCTGCACTTCTGTGCTGCTACAGCAACAGAAAAAAAATATTCCTCTTCCACTTCCTCCAACCACAGCTGCATCTCCTCACTTAAAAAAACATTAAATTTAACACAACCAAGCTACCACTCAAAGCCAGGAAATATGAGCCAGTACCTGCTCTTTGTCTCTGTCACACGGCCCAAAATACATGTGCCAGACACATAGATGGTGTCGGGCAGTGCAAACCAGATAGTGCTGGAGTAAAACAGAAAAAAAACAGGCCTAAGATTAAAAAAATGTAACAAAACATATAAATGGACGAGTTCTGTTTTCAAAGTAGTTACCCATTTCATTCAATACATTTTTATCTGTTGTAAAATATAAAAACTGATACCTTTTTAAAAATGCTGAAGAAAATAAATCAACAGTTTTACATAATTTAGTTATTAGTTATAAATTATGTGGTTGTACTTGATTTTTTCTCAAATGTCCTGTTGCTTTGGTGCTACAGCTGCTTTTGATACAGTGGAACATGCACTCCTTATCTTAACCACTATTTGGAAAATCTGGTTCTGCACTCAAGTGGTCCATCTCCTGCTTGACCAACAGAACCTTTTTCTGTCATGATTGATAATTGATCTTAGTGCTTTTCTTTTTTATGGGGTGTCACAGGGCTCCATCCTTGGTCATCTCCTCATCTGTCATTATATACTACCACTCAGTTATTACCAGTCACCAAATGTCTTTTCACTGTTTTATGAACAACTTACAGATTTATTCGCTTGTGAATCATAGAGGTAGTAATGTTCATTTTATTTATTTATTTTTTACAATAATTGCTTTAAACAATGGCTGAACCACAACTTCCTGTTTTTAAATAAAGAAAAGACAGAGTGTATATATTTTGGTGATGATGCTTTGTGTATCTTTGGTGCTCAGACATCCAAGTTTAGAAGCATAGAACGTGAGGGTGACTTTTGACAAGGATTTAAAGCTTGGTAAACAAATAACCTTTGTAGTCAAATTTTCTATTACGCCTTTTAAGCAGGTCGAGTGAAAAGATTTTCAAGCCTTTTTTTATTTTTGTTTTACACAGTGACTTGATCATCTTTTGGTTGTTGTAAAGGGCTACATAAATACATATTGATTGACTGACTGACTGACTGACTGACTGACTGACTGACTGACTGACTGACTGACTGATTGATTGATTGATTTTATTCAACTTTAATGACATTAAAATTTCACAATTTAAAAATAAAAAAATGAAAAACTCCTGCAAATGCATAACCTTGTAAAATAAATGCCACCATCAAGCAATCCAGTAATGCACTTTCTTCCTTGTTCGTTTGTTGACATTTGCCTCCCATGCTGAAAGCTGTCCTGAGTTTCCACCAGGCATTTAGGGGCACTTAATTAAAACCTAATTAAATGCAGGTGCACTGCAAAGGTTGACCAGTTTAGCTTAAGTTAAGGACGTAGACCAAGTGTGCATTAGGGGACATTTTCCAGGGAATTCACCAGCAAACAACCACTTCATGTCATGCCAACGTTTAAAAGGATTTCAAGATTAAAATTATGTTATATTTTTTCTTGTGACTGTGAACCTAAACGTAAGGTGATACCATATTCAGTCATTCATCCAACCATCCATCCATTGGAGGAGACCATATCTGGAGAAATATTCTTCTGTATAGATAAACAGAAGATGTGTGTGAAGATACATGTTATCGTCATACATGGGTCATCCCTACTATTTGGTGCTATTTGACTATGGTAACTTTTATTTTATGATGTGTTTCTGGTAGAGGAGAGTCAAAAATACAAGATAATATTAATAAAATAAATATTGGCCCAACTTTACACAAAATATACCACATTATGACTTGAGGACTCAATAGTCTATGAATAGTAGGAATGGCCCATGTACACAGAAATAGCATTACTAACAAAAAAAAAACACTGCAAATGTTTGAATATTGATAATTATCCATACTATTGATAAAATACTTTCCCCTAGCATAATAACCAGATAATCCATGGTAGCAAAAATTAATGTAAACAATGTAACTTTTGTAAACAGGGGATGAATCAGATTAATGTGGGCACGTTTTAGTTTAGACAGTCATTTAGCTAACAGATGGCACGTTTGGTGCAGTTTCAAGGGCAACAATGGGTGTGGCACTAAACTCCACAGAGCACCATAAAGAAGCATCATGGAAACCATCTGGCCATCTCGTGGGACAGTTTAGCACTGCAGCGCTAACATATATTTGAAATGGGACAAGGACATTTTTCGTCATGAATATCATCCTGCGTCTTGTTTCTTATTTGTCAGATGTCTCCTTGGGCATATTTCTGGGGCAGCTGGGTTCTTTTCCTGGTTTGGAGCATCGTTGAGGTATTGAGGTTACCTCAAAGAAGGTGTAAATAGATGAGAAACAGTTGGGATATCTAAAGACCTATTTTAAATGCATTGTTAGAAAAAGGTGGGAAAGAAAGGGCCAGATAGCCTGGGAGACAAATGGTGGAGTATACTCTAAGAGACAGCAGAGTAGAGATGGTAGGGCATGTCTTTGAGGAGGAGAGGAAAAGCAGTAGGAAAGGAGAGAGGGAAGACAGGAGATGGTTCTGATATTGATGCTCAATTCAATCATAAATCCTGAAAACCTGAACTCTCATATATCAATTTTAGGAGGTTAAAAAGTGTTCCACTTTTCCTTGTCTGTTCACCTAGATAGGAATAGGGCCGATCCGATCCGGTATCGGTCTCTGATACCAGCATAATTAACGTATCTGAATTTTCTGATCCATTGCAGGGAAATTTCTGATGCATGGGTTGTGTCTGTGATGTAACGTTGTCTGCTAAGGTGACTCCAGAGATGATTCCTGGCCGGCTGCTCTGCAAACTGTCTGCAAACTGTGGAATGGATTTCCTGAATGGAGGCAAGTCTTTTAACAGTGTGTCTTATTGAGACATGGATTGAGGAAATCCATTCCACCATTTGCAAACAGTTTGCAGACAGCTATCAGACGAGCAGCTCTATGGATAAACCAACTTTTCATCACAACATGACTCTTTGTGTTTTAAAAGTAGAGACTCAGAATACTATCGCTATCAGTTGACATCCAAAATTCTTGTGTCGGTTCGGTGCATCCCTACTCCAAGGCACTGTTCCTTTACACCTTAAACTCTTATTCTTGTATTTGCAAGAATTATATCTTAAACTAGGTTATAAATCATTGAATAAAATACAAATATGCAAATCTAACGAGGCAATTCAAACTAATCTCATCCTGATATTCATCAGGAGTGATCCAACAGAAGCAACACAGGATTACATAATAACATATTCACTGGAACACCTTCAAACACAAACAAAGTTGTTTATCTGGAGGCAGCCATTGAAGCATCACTGACAGTGAGGGCAATGTGTCTCGGTGTAGTGAAGCAGGAAAGACGGCACGCTCCACAATTAGGTAACCCAAATACTACTGAGTTTGCTCTCTCTTTCCCGCTGTCTCTCAGTTTCTTTCCGCCGCTGCACATCACAATGAGCCATGACTCTAAAAGTGGTATCTCTCTTTGTCTATCCCTGCCTCCATCTCTTCTCTGCCAGGTTTGAAAGAGCGGTGATGAAAAATTAGGGGGTGGTGGTTGGGGACGGGGGCAGAAAAAAGGGTCGTTTCATTCAGAGGGACAGAAAATGAAAAAGACAGGGAAAGGAAGCAGGTGGCCGTGTGAAAGAGGCAGTTTAAACTATCGCTGATTCTTCTGGTTCTTATCTGTCACCGCTCTGCTCCTCTCTCTTAGCACAGCCAGAGCTCCCCACAACCAGCAGTTCATCTTCAGCCAACGCTCGAGGGGACAGAGAAAGAGAGG